TGAACAAGGACTTGTCCTTGCAAACATGGACTGTGGCGCTCGAATCAAACCACCATCCAGAAGATGATTCTGCCATGTTGACTTCAGTAATCATGGCCACGAGATTGTCTTCTACCATGTTTGCAGACTTGGTTCCGCCTTTCCGATGTCGGCAGACTCGGGCATAGTGCCCCTTCTTTCCACAAACATAGCAGGATCCTTTCTTATTGTTGCTCTTCTTGAAGTTCCCATCCTTTTTTTTTAATTGTAATGCAGGGTTAGTCTTCTTCGATCCGTTTTCCACAAAATTGACCTTAGAGTTCAGCATACCGGCCAGGGACTTATCCCTACTGTCTCTAAACCGAGACTCTTCTTCAATACGAAGGTGTTGCTGAATTTGCTCCAAGGTAAGTTCTTCAGCCTTGTGCAGAAGCTTCTTCCTGTAATCCTTCTAAGAGGGTGGAAGTTTGACAATGATTGCTCCCACTTGGAAAGATTCGGGAAGGATGATGTTAAGGGATCAAATTTTATTGACTATCACCTATAGTTCATGAACTTGCTCTACTATGGGCTTATAGTCGTTCATGGTGAAGTCAAAGTATTCTGCAATAAGATACTTATTCGTACCTACTTCTTGCACCTTGTATTTGAATTCCAGGGCCTTCCAGATTTCTTTTGGAGATGTAAGTTCCTTGTAGAAGTTGTAGAGCCGGTCTGATAAGGCATTCAGTATGTGTCCTCGACACAGAAGTGAGTCATCTTCTCGTTTTGCTCTTTCCTTCTTTAGTTTTTCTGAGTCTTTGTCAGTGGGTTCATGAAATGATTGCAGATTCGGGTCCAACAGATAGTATAGCTTCAGTGTGGTCAGAAAGAAGATCATCTTGTCTTGCCATCGGCTGAAATTTTCTCCATCAAACTGGTTTAGTCGAACAAGATCTTGGTTCATCATCTTGATTGAAGTCATGCTTGCTTCCGCCTCCATTGCAGGATAACGTTCTAAAATTGTTGGGGAAAATGGGGTCACTATAACCTTGGAGGAGAAGCTCTGAGGCGCGTCTGAAGACACTGTCTTTAGAACGTTATTTGCCCCCACTCAGTTTTACTGAGTTTGCTGTTGGGTTACAGGCAAATTCGTTCCCAGGATACAATAGAGCCTTGGGTGAGTCTGCAACCAGCAAAGTTGAAGAGTCTCCAAAGAAACCTTCTGTGAGACTGTAGCAGACCGAACTGAGAGAGAGAGAGAGAGTGAATTTCGAAATTGTGTGTTTTGGAGTCTGATTCATGCTCTTTAAATATTTTGTGAAGAGGTATGAATAACAGGTAGGTGCTGGTTTAGAGAAGGCACCTTGAACAGTCACAATTTCAAACATTGTGACTGTTTAAAAAGTACTTAACAGTTAGTGACTGTTAACTTTGAATTGTGCCTTTTGATCACACCCGATCGAATCGTAACCGTTGATCTCATCAACAGTGATCAATGATCATCAACGCACCAAAACCAGAGGCGCCCATCGCGAGCCACGCGGGTACACGCAAAGTGCGCCTCTAAAACGTCTCATTGCGCCGCACACACGCGCGTTGCGCGGTATCGAATCCCCATATTCTCCTCTACTAATTCTAAGGAGTGTAAATCAGCTCCTATTGAAATACTGAAAACAAAACTTATAATTTTCTAATGTGGGACAAGTTCAAAACTGGGTTTTGTAAGAAAAAAACTGATTTTTTCAATCAAGTGTGCAGGTACAATTTCTCATGTAATTGATCAATCAAACCCATTGGATTTAATCTCTCATGAGATTAAAATCCAACACCTTGTACTTACGAGGAGGGTCATTCTCTAGTTTTTACTAAAAAGAAAAACAAAAAATTGAGCCAACTCAAATCCAAACCCATGAGGTTATCAGGTTGGGTTAGGGAAACCTCAACCCAAACTAACTGGTCCACTTGCACACCTACTACCTAGAAGCCTAATTCTACTGTTTGCACCGCTGTATATCACTTGTTACATAATCAATCACAACATATTGCACACTAGCATATGAGCCCCATGTATGCAGAGCATTGACGTATTTATTCGTGATTGGTTGCATATCTATACTACCTATAAAAGAGTGAACGCCCATTCTTTCTGAAATTTTTATTGGATGTTTTTTATCCCCTTGTCCAAGCATACAATGGGCATAAAGAAAACATATATGCTGTTTACTCTCACCATGAATTATAAATAGTTTTGTCTTAGAGATACTGCCGTGTACAAATGCACATACACGTTTACTTGTCAAGTGAAAAACAGATCTGAGGTGCCAGCAGCAAATCCCTGTGTGACTGACTACTTTGTTGTATAGCACCAAATTAAATAGGTTTTTGGAAGTTGATTATTAAAAGTAAAGAAGAAAAAACATAGGCAAAGTTGAAACATGGGACTTTTTTGATTACTCGGGATTTGTAATCAATCGTGAGTGAACACGCCAGTGGTCCACACATCTGGGTATGGGTCCAAATGTGCTACATACAACTGGTCCAAAGAATTTGATTCTAAAACATGCCAGTGTTTCATACATCTAGATATGGGTCCAAATGTGTTACATACAACTGATTCTAAAAGATAAAAGAAAATGGGGCCTTTCTTTTCTTTTCCTCCTGCTCTTTTACTTTATGGGTTGGCCCCTAGTAAGACCATATTTACCAAAGTATTGCATCAATGAGCATGGATAGGGATAACTTTCCATGGCAACTCACTCCCATCAAAACTGAGACACAAGACAAAAGGAGGAATGGAAGACCTATTTTTCCTTCTAATTCATTTAACAAAGAAATACCACCGACACAAGTACTCGAAGGCTTTCTTTTTCTTATTAAAAAGTGAGAAGTTGCAAGGAAATCCTCTCCCCTTTACCATACTTGATGAAACTGGTTTGATGGTGATAATGATGATGGGCGAGAAATTACCAAATTGCATACAAACTATTTTTCTTCTTTTAACTCCAAATTTTACTCCAGGTGGATGGGTTGAAATATTTAGGGAAAAAAAAAATTGAAAAGAGAAGAGGGGGAGGGGTTGGAATGGAAGAAGTGAAAAAGTTAAGGGTGAATTATTGAGAGTTGGGGCCACTCTTTTGATTCTTTTCTTTTCCTTTTTCCTTTCTTTTTCATTTCTTCTGTGGTCTAAGTCTCTAAGAGAATCCTGAACTTCACATTATTGCAGATTGATCTTCTTAAAAGTGAACTGACTTCCCATCTTCTTTCCTCATTCTCCAACGAGAAATTGAGCACCTATAGAGAAGACAGGGAAAGCACAAACTCGTTATTGTTTTTCCTGAAATCCCGGTTACAGAGTAATTTTTTCCTATAGTGGACGAGGAGATACTTTACACAAATAAGGGATCGATTTTCTGTAAGTTCTCTTGTCACAAAACAAACAATCTTAACTACTTCATCTTGATTAATTGGTCCTTATTTCTTTATTTCTTTGTTCTTTGTTCTGTAGGAGGAGGAAACATGGTGGAAGGAAGCAGAGAAGATATAATTGTATCTCTCCGGCTTGCATCTCTGCTGGAGAGATTAAACTCTCCTCTTCTGAGAGAGTTCGGATTTGTGTGGGGTATTGAGGACGAGTTGGCTGAGCTCTGTGATGCATTTGAGAGTATTCAAACAATGCTGGATTTTGCAGAGAATGCTCAAAGAAGGAATCACGTAGTGAAACGCTGGCTCAAAAAACTAAGAAATATGGCTTACGACCTGGACAACGAGCTGGACGAGTTCATCTATGAAGCAATCAGAGAGAAAAATCAGGCAGGTCAAAGTAGAAGGAAGAGAAAGGAAACACACTAATTTTCATTCGATTTCAATCAAAACCAAATTTTACATCAGCATGAAATCGCACCCCGTCTAAATAAATTTCAGAAGAAGATAGATGAGATCAGAGTAGAATTGAACCTTACTCCTTGAAAGGTTCAGAAATAAAGCTGCAATACCATTTAACCGAGGAACCAAGGACTAGTTCCTTAATGGACCAATCTCTTATTCTTAATAGAAATGAAGATCTGGATGCTGTGAAAACCCAGCTGTTGTCTAATACTCATCAAACCAACAATCGAAAAAATGCTCCTGTTGTTGCCATAGTGGGTATGGGTGGGCTTGGCAAGACAACACTCGCTCAGCTTCTTTACAACGATTCAAATGTGAAGGACTACTTTCCAACAAGAGCATGGGTTTGTGTGTCCAACGATTTTAACGTAGAGAGATTAAGCAAAGAAATTTTAGAATCAACATCTGGGTCTGCTTGTAAGCTTGAGAATCTTGATCAAATTCAACGTAAACTTGAAGAAAGGTTGGGAGGGAATAGATTTCTACTTGTCTTAGATGATGTTTGGAGCGAGAAGCCACGAGATTGGGAGGCCCTAAGAGTTCCATTCAGAATTGCAGAGAAAGGGAGCAGGATTATCGTGACCACTCGGAGTCGTAAAACTGTTTCATCCATCAGAGACACTATTTATGCTCATGATCTGCAAATTTTATCTAATGAAAGCTGTTGGGAACTGATAAAAAGGCGTGCATTTGCGGAAGAAACAATGCTTTCTGTCGAACCTGGCCTAGAAGCAATTGGGAGGGAAGTTGCAAAGAAGTGCAAAGGGTTACCTCTGGCAGCAAGTACAATCGGAAGCCTTCTGTATTCATCTAAGCCAGATGTGGAAGAGTGGGAGAATATATTGCAGAGCGACATGTGGAATTCAGAAGGAGATGATGAATTGCCAGCTTCTCTTAGCTTGAGCTACCATTATCTCCCACTCCATCTTAAGCACTGCTTCGCGTATTGTTCTCTATTCCCCAAAGATCATGAATTTGATAAAAAACATCTGGTTCAAATGTGGATTGCAGAAGGCTTTGTTCTACCTGCTAAACAGGACAAAAGATTATTGGGAGCCGTGGGTGGTCAGTATTTTGATGATTTATGCCATCGATCTTTCTTTCAATACATTAATGGAAAGTTTGTGATGCATGATCTTATACATGATTTAGCAGGATTAGTCTCAGGAGAAATATACTGTAGAATTGGCAGTTCTGGCAAGTACTCGTTTGAAATCTCTAAAAATACTCGTCATTTGTCATTGCCAAACGATGAAGAGCATCTGAGGAATGTGGAATCCGCCCATGAATCTAAATGTCTATCCACGTTGATGGTTGGGATTATTGAGAGTGCTGGTTGGACTGATAAAGAGAATATAGATGATATCTTAAATTCCATGCTCCCCAAGAAGGCCCCTGTAGGTCTATGGGAAAACCTGAGATGCTTACGCGTGTTAAGCCTGAGTGGTGCAGGGATAAATGAAATACCCGAATCGATTGGCAATTTGAAACATCTGCGCTACATTAACCTTTCGTCGTTTTGGGTTACAGAATTACCCGAGTCAATATGTAAGCTCTACCATTTGGAAATATTGATACAGGATGATTGCTTAATGAAAATGGCCCGCTTGCCACAAGGAATCGGAAGATTGAGTTGTCTCAAGACAATGCCTCATTTTCCGGTGGCCAAAGACGGTGGCGGTGCAGGGTTAGGAGAATTGAAGGGGTTACAGTGCCTTGAGGGAGCCCTCTGCATCCATGGATTACATAATGTGTCAAATGTTGCGGAGGCTACGGAAGTTAATTTGAGGGATAGGTCAAGAATCCACGAGTTGGAGCTTTGCTTTGGTGATGGACCTGACCTTTTCTTGGAGCTTTTTGATAAAGCTCAGGCCCGTGATGTTCAGAGTGACAAGGGAATGGATGCTGAGGTGCTTGAAGCCTTGCAGCCTCACACAGAGCTGAGGCGTCTCGAGATAGACCGTTATTGCGGTGACAATTTCCCCCCGTGGATGATGAACGGCCTGTCGCGTTACAGGAAGCTGGTTTCTGTGCGTCTCGGGAGTTGCTACAAGTGCCGCTCTCTTCCACCTCTTGGCCAGCTGCCTTTACTAGAATCCCTCACTCTTGAGTGGATAGTTGAAGTGGAGGAATGGCCTGGAGCAGAGAGCGGTGAATTTCTTTGCCTCCAAAGGTTAAAAATTATTAATTGTCAGAAGCTCAGGCAACTTCACCCAGCTCTTGGATCGATTCCTAAACTAAGTTTACTGAAGATAAGCGGTTGTCCTGGTCTTACTTCCTTGCCCAACCCGGGACTGATCAACCTCACCTCTCTCAAGGATTTAACCATTACAGATTGCTCTGATACATTGAAACGACAGCTTCTGGATGAGGGTTTTCCGCTCTGTCTTACACACCTTGAAATTGACAGTGAGGTATTGATGGCCCTACCCAGTAGGGGCCTACGAGACCTATCCTGCCTGGAGGAATTGGAACTCAGAGAACCAACACAGGATTCAGGTGAAGATATCTCAGATTTCGGCTATGATCTTTCTGATGTATGGGGAGTTCAAGATATCTCGGATTTCGGCTATAATCTTGGGGATGAATGGGGAGTCATCGAACCAACGGAGGATTCTCGGGATCTTGAGGAAGGTAATCCTACTAAAAAGTTTTTGCCAAAGCTGCCCACCAACCTTCGCCGTTTTCTGGTTAACAACGAAGACTGCACACACTATCTTCATAGTCAAGAGCGCAGGTTACTACCAGCTTCCTTTATCTTTTTTAATCCTTGTTCGTTTTGTTGTTTGTTTCTGTTTTCATGCTTGCTTCTTTATCAAACATTTTTCAGAGAAGAAGAGGAAATTAAGTCCCCAAAGATTTCATGAGTCGCTGTTTTCTGCTTTATGCCTCTATCTATGTGGTGCTACTGTTTTCACTTCAACTTCTTAATAGATCTTTGGTGGTAGAACTCTGAATAAGGAAACAAAAGTTGATCATTGGCCAGTTTAGATGATAGGATGAGGTCATAGGGAAGAAGTTGCATGCAGATCTTGCAAAGAGTTTATGTTGTCAAGATCAAAATCAAAGTCTGAATTTGGCAACCTTGCGTTTGCATTTGCTACAGACTACAACAGACCTCATCTCTGGCTTCAAATTCTGTTCATGTTTGTGCTTGGTTTGGTAGATAAAATAAGAGAGAAATAGAAAGCTGTGCTTCAAATTCTTCTAATGTTGTGTTGCACTGTGCATCAATAATTCAACAGCTTGCCCGTATAAATCAAATGTTATAATGTAAGTTTTATATAAATTTCTGGGTCAGCCGGCAATGCGGCCCTACTGGTTCCGACCAAATTGCACCCCTGTTTTTTTTTTCTTTTTTTGGTAAACAGATCAAATTGCATCTTTGGTCCCTAATGCTGTGTTTGGTTGCAATGTAAATAAATTTACATTGATGCAAAATTATAGCAGTGCAAATGATTTGGTTTTAATTTCTGACCTACTTTTGTTTCAAATTTTAGCTTATTTTGTTTGATTGCAGCACAAATAAAGTAAATTAAGGTATAAAGCATAATAAAGTAAAATCCAAAACAAAATTAAGTAAAAATTTTCTTTTTTTTTTCATTTGCACACCAATACATTTGTACTAATACAAATAAAATTGCACTGCAACCAAACACTGCCTAAACATTTGCTTAATTACTTCATTTCATATGATCATAAACAAGCTTGATTCCTATTTAATTTTCTTTGACGTACCATTGCGGATATGGTCTCTCTAGTCAACTGGCTCCTCAACTTGTAACGGCATAAAGGCTCCCACATAATACGCCTTTCAGCCTTTGTAATTTCATCAAATGAAATGGTTAGTTGATGTCTGTATCCCTGTTTCTTTCTTGGTTTTAATGAATTCTGCTTTCCACCAAAGAAAACAAAGGCTCAATTTGGAAGGAGTATATATACAAATTTGTAGAGTGCAAAACCTTGTATTTTGTATTATTTTGTATATATTTGTATAGTACATATTTGTATTTGTACTCCTTTCAAACTGAGCCAAAAGAATGGAATAAAGTTGAGAATGACCTCCTTTGTGAACCTAAAGAATGGCCCAATTTGAGAATCCCAACTTTAATCCTTGACCATCAACTGGATCAAGGGAGCCGGTTTAGGCCTCCTCCACACCCTGAACCGGTCAGACCCCCAATACACCCACTATAGGGGTGTATTAGAGGGGTCCCGGAATGATACGTATCAGCCGATACATGTCGATACTTTGAACCTTGCTAGCAAGTAATTTCATGCAATGCATTGGATTGAATAGAATTTTGGGTATGTTGGGGTTTACAAATTTGGGTTTTGACATCAGTTTCCATCCACACCAAGGCCCATGTTTAGGGTTGGCCCTTAACTCAATCCATTTAATTTAGGGAAATTGTCTAAAACTCATGCACCATGAATTTTCAGCATTTCTCTTAAACTCACCAAACTTTTCAAAATGTCTGAAACTCACCATGTCACTAACTTGACGTTAAACAGACTAACGGGTGTTAATATATTACCATTTTAACCTTCATAGAAAATATAAAATATATGCAAATAAATTAACGGGGGTTAACATATTACCATTTTAATATTTAGACATGAAAAAAGGAAAAAGTTCAAAAAATATTTTCAAATATAAAATACATAAAAACATAGAAGTTACAAAAATATAAAAAATTATAGAAATTGCAAGCAAAATAAAAAAATAAAAAAAATTATTTTCAAAATTTAGAAACTATAGGAATTGAAAAACAAAATCAGAAAATAAAAATTATAGAAAAACACAGAAATTGTAACTAAATAACAAAAATACAGGAAAATTTTTAGACTGTAGAAAATAGAAAAATGTAAAAAAACAGAAATTATAAAAAATATTGAAAATTATAACAAAACACTAAAAATGCAAAAAAAAACAAGAAAATTGAAAACTGAAAATGACCATTTTTCCTCTAACTCACCATTCAAGAGTAATTTAATCATGAAAATTGTTATTTATGCTGACATGGACACCTCTATTAAGAACAATTAACGGTACACTAACGAAAGGCGAGTTTTGGAAAATAAAAACTTACTGGCATGGTGAGTTTTAAACATTTTGAAAAGTTGTGGTGAGTTTAAGAGAAATGTTGAAAACTCATGGTGAGTTTTAGACAATTTCCCTTTAACTTATATCCCTGTCTTATTAGAGAAAGTCAAAAGTGTCTAGAAAGATTTAAGAAGGAATGATGGATTTAATAGGCGGGGGAAGAAAAAAATATATCATTTTTTCTGCAATTTTAAGAATGATCTTATCAAAAGGAATTATGATGGATTTGATTAGAAAAAATTAAAATTTGTGACAACTTAGATTGTGTTTGGTACCATTGCTATTTCCACTTGCAATGTTTTAGGTTGGTCAATACAAATTTTATGAGAATATATTTTTTTTCTACCACAAATGCTTTGAGTTACCAATATGACATTGGGTACCATTGCTGCTTCTTCAGAAAACATCAAATTTGGTGTTTCTATTATAAATGCCAACACCTAATCCAATGCTTATATTATTTTAGTGGAAGTGGTTATCTGATGCCATGTAACAAGACAATTTATCAAAAATTTGTGTTGTACAACACAAAACATGGGAAGTAGAAGCGACAATGATACCAAACACAACCTTATTCATTAATAATTTAAGAATGAATAACTGCACACGTGAAGAGAGGGAGGTTCGTGTGAACATTGAGATGAGAGGACTCTTTACCTCCCTCTTTCCTCTATATAGTATGGACAATTCTAGAATCAAAGTTAAATACCATTTGGATAGTGAGGATTATTTGATTGGTATAAGGATAACGATTTTAATGTTCCATCCAAGCAAGAGGCAGCAGCTCATGGATGTGAAGCCAAACAATGAAAGCATGAAATTCAGTGTCTTAACGATTTAATGTTTGACAGGATTAGTTATAATCCTTATTGTTCTTTATCTTTGATCTTTATCCTTTACTCTTCTATTGGCATGACAATTTAATTAGGGCCATAAACCACCATCTCATGGAGGACATGAGCAACAGAAAGGCAGAGGCTTTGAATTTGTTCGAGTTATTTCATTCAATCGGTAATCTTCCTTTTCAAGACAAGAAGATTTGGGGTGGCAAGGTCTATGGTTCCTTTGTTCCTTAAACATCATGAAGCACAGGATATCCTAGCCTGCATACATGTACTGTTGTGGACTTCATGGATGAAATCTTTTATAAGTTACTTTTTCGACTATGCCTAGTAGTGAACTCAAAATGAAAAAAGATCAACACACCCAAGCAGGTTCTCCAGCCAAGGGGCAAAGTGAGGGACTGTGAAAAAACCTTACTTTAACTTAGTTATGATTTTTCACTTTCAGAGATAACCAACTATCTTGGAAATTCTTCTAGGCTCAGTTTGGAAAGAGTATAAATACAAATATATACAGTGTAAATATATACAAAATATAAGGTTTTACACTGCATATTTATATTTATATTCCTTCCAAATGGACCACTAGGGAAAAAGCTTAGGACAGTGGAAGAAAACTGTATGTAGGAGGCTCAACACATGCAATAATGGTCTCTGTTGCTAATAGTATCTTCATTATACAGAAATTCCTTGATGAGGGAAAGTCCAACTGAGGTGATCTAGATATGACCACTGGCTGCACCAGTGAGGAGTGACTTGACCAAGTAGAAGGTTCTAGAGTTGTAAAGTATAATCGTTTGGGGGATGGGGGGTTCAGCTGTTGAGTTTTTTTATAGAAATACCCCCCACCCCCTATTTGTTGTAAACAACTAGTTTGGGGGCAAAAAATGACTTAAATACCCCCCAACAACTATATAACAATTAGTTTAGAGGGCATCTTGGTAAAGTGATAATTAATTTTTTAAGAGACCAAAATACCCTTTCCAACAACTATAAAACAATTAGTTTATGGGGGTATTTTGGTCAATTAAATAATTTTCAAACCCTATAAATATCCTTACCCCCCTCGTTCACATAACACCAATTCTTATACTCTCATATACTCGTACTCTCTCATACTTCCCATACACTCATACTCTCTTACTCCCTAGTCCCTCCTTATAAACTTTATTCAACTTAACTTTGTTCAAGTTTCAAGAAAAATAAAAAATAAAAAAGACTTGCTCAAGCATCTCAAGTTAACAATATAAGAGGCTTAAAAGCTTCACTAGTTGAAATCCAATTGAGATACTAGACTAGTGGACCGGGTAAGTGGTAATTAATTTTCATTTTGGTCTAAAACTTAGGATTTTAATATTTAAAATTTATTAAAATAGTTTATTATTCTCAAAATCCTTTTCCCTCTTATAATTTTGGTGATGTCTAATCACAGTATGATAACACCAGCATCAATGTTAGTTGATGAGGGCAGATTTGGCCCTCCAGTGAAATTGTGACACGTGGCACCTCGTGACAACTAGGCGACACCCAGGCAACAACTTACCAAGTCGGTGTCCCGTCGGGGCACCGACCTGGCTGGCCTAGTGCGGCCTGGCGCGCTGCCTGGCGCGGCCTACGCGACCTGGCCAACCTGGATCAGCCCGGCACATGATCCGACCTAGCCGACCTGGCAACCCATAAGACGCCCACCGATGAACCATAACGGTATACCCCGCGAGCTCGGTAGCTCACCAAGGAGCTCGCCAAGGAGCTCGATAGCTCACCAAAGAGCTCGCCAAGGAGCTAGGCAGCTCTCCAAGGAGCTCGCCACCAAGGAGTCAGGCAGCTCGGCAAAGCTCGCCACAAGCAGCTCGGCATAGCCCAAGGAGCTCGGCATAGCTCCCCCGGGCAGCTCGCCACTTGTAGGGTAGCTCGGTA